AAAAAAAACCCCCAAAAACTGACCCTCGACAAAACCCCCTTTTACAAAAATATATCAATGAAATCTGACCTGTTACAAAGAATACATATCCTTCCCTGCCCCCATGATAATGTCTGATGCTCAACTTCTTGAGAGCAACTCCCTGCGTCTGCTCGGTCTCACGTTGATGGAACAAATACGGTGAGTCAATTGCTTCTTCCATCGCGAGGAAAGTTGGCTCTCTGTGCCGCGCCAGGAAATTTTTCTCCCCGGAATCGATACTTCAAATATACAAATCAACCATTCGACCTTGCATGGAGTATTGCTGCCATATATGGTCTGGGGCACCTTATGTTTACCTCGGAGTTCTTGACAAGATCCAGAGACGGATATATAATATAATTGGCCCTGATCTGGCATCTCGTCTACAGTCACTCTCTCACAGACGCGCCGTCGCCTTTCTCTGTCTTTTCTACAAAAACTTTCATGATAATTGCTCCGATGAGCTGCTTTCACTGATTCCCAGACTCCATGAATTCAAGCGCCCTACGAGGCTGGCATCACGCTCTTACCCTCTCACTGTAGAAACTACTAAATGTAGCCGTCTCTTCTACTCCAATAGCTTCATACCTCACACCTCTCGCCTGTGGAACACCTTTCCCAATTACTGTTTCCCTGGGAGCTCTAATCTCCAACTATTCAAATGTAATGTCAATTGACATCTCCAGTTACCTTGATCTATCCACTATCCGTCTCCTCTTCCTTTCTTTTATCACTCCAATCTTTTTATGGCTAAACGGTAATCTTTGGGATGGCGAATTTAAAATTTTAAATTTCTGGTGTATATGTTTATTTCTGCATATGGGTGTGGATGTGTTTGGGATTGTGTTTGTATCTGATGTGTAAAATGATCAGTGGAAATTGTCATGAAGCCATTTCAGACCTTAGGACGCGCCAGGAAATGTGTTTACAACAGAAATCAAATGACATAATAATAAATATAAAATGATCAGTGGAAAATGTCATGAAGCCATTTCTGACCTTAGGTCTCTGGTTGGGACCCGGAAGGAAATGGGTATACAACAGAAATCAAAGGAAATAATAATAAATATAAAATGATTAGTGGAAAATGTCATGAAGCCATTTCTGACCTTAGGTCTCTAGTTGGGACCCGGAAGGAAATATGTATACAACAGAAATCAAAGGAAATAATAATAATAATAATAATAATAATAATAATAATAATAATGAAATTAACTCCTTATTGCATAAAGTTTCCTTAAACTTTTATCTTTTTTTGCCTAATCTATCTTGATGGCTAATGGTAATCTTTGGGCTGACGGATTTAAGATTATAAATAATCTCCTCTCCAAAAATCTGAATGCAATTTTCTGTTGGGTTTCAATATTCTAGTAAATATTATAATAAAAATACCAACAATATATTTTTTTTTTAAATTTGACTCTCGACAGAAACCCTCTTTACAAAAATACGTCAATGAAATCTGGTCAATTACAAAGAATACCTATCCTATTCATACGAACCTATCCTACAAATCTTATCGGCATTATATTACCCAATGAGGTTGATATACCGTAAAACAAAATAAACCAAATCAAACCTAAAATTGAACGTTTCATGCCTATTTCAAAATTTACTAAATAATTTGTGCCAGTGGGACTTTCTCTTCCTGAAGGGTTTTATCATATATTCAATAAAAAAGAAGAAATTATCCTCTTACTGCATAAAGTTTCCTTAAACGTTTAGCTCATTTTGCCTAATCTCTCATGATGGCTAATGGTAATCTTAGGGCTGGCGGAATTTAAATTTTAGATAACACTTTCTCTTAAAAAAAAAATTAATGTCATGCACTAATGGGTCAAATAGTTTAATCATTCTAGCTAAGTAGATATTAATTAATTATAGCCCCCAAACTTTTGATATATAGTGTCACGATCACGAGTCCTGTAACACATTAGAATGACACTGCACGTACTGAAATACTAGATTGGCAAGATGCACGGATCATTTCAATGTTTCTTTTCCCCTAATCTACTGTTCTGTCTAATGGTAATCTTAGGGCTGGCGGATTTTAAATTTAAAAAATCTCCTCTATAAAAGAATTGATGTCCTGGGTAAGACATTAAACTACATCCGCGTCATGTGTAAGACTTTAAACTACATCCGCATCCTGGGTAAGACGTTAAACTACGTCCGGCAGCATGGCCTCTGATCAGGAGGTTTTGTGTAGCGTGGAACCACCTCTTAATTGCTGGTATTCCCAGGTCCACCCTGACCCGGGGTGCTAGCACCTGTTAGGCTCCCAGCTATGGGCAAATAGTTAAGTATTACCAACAATACATTTTTGAAAAAAATTATTACCAGCAATACAATTTTGAAGGAAATATATTACCAGAAACAGATTTTCGACAAAACAAAATATTACCAGCAATAAAAAATTTTGTCGGCATTAAATAACCCATTGAGGTTGATATGCCGTAAAACAAAATAAACCAAACCAATCTAAACCAAAGAATACATATTCTATTCATACGAATCTATCCTAAAAATGTTGTCGGCATTAAATAACCCATTGAGGTTGATATGCCGTGAAACAAAATAAACCAATCCAATCTAAAACAAAGAATACATATTCTATTCATACGAATCTATCCTAAAAATGTTGTCGGCATTAAATAAACCATTGAGGTTGATATGCCGTTAAACAAAATAAACCAAACCAATCTAAAAAAAATGACCACATTTCTCTAATGGGTTTCAATAATCTAGCTTAGTTGGTTTAAATTAAACCATAGAAGAAAACGAAATTATTTACTATGGGGAGATAGTAACCCACTAACTTTTGTTCAGTAGTGTATGTCGGTCGGTCGGTTAATATATTTGTTTGTAAATCTATATCTTGTATGCTAGGGACTCACTTCTTTTTGGGTGATTGTTGCTTGCATGATAAAGGATCAAGGTCTGAGAATCATACATCGCATGGCTATCTCTTCCACATTTCATACCTTCTGTGATATCTGTAAACTTTTTCTTCTTCTTCTTTTATGTGTCATGATCCTTCCGGACGTAGGCGATCATGGCTCTCCACTTCTCCCTATCCCTTGTATCTCTCAATAAGTTTCCTCCTTTGCTACTTCTTCCAGACCCTGTGCAATCATCCACCTAGGTCCGCTAGGTATGTCACGTTTTGCTTTCTCATGTCTCTCTTTCCCTCTATTCGCTCTGTGAGTATCAGATTCTCCCAGCCCTCCTTTCTCATTACATCTCCAGAAATTTTAGTTCCCTCTTCCTGATGTTAAGTATAAGCTTCCTCTTTGTTTGCACCCGCTCCAAAACCTCATCGTTGCTCACATGTTCGGTCCAAAACCATTCATCCATACCACTACCGCATCGACATGTTCGGTCAGTACTATTTTTTCGTTACCAATGATCCTGTCTCTGCAGGTTTTTCTTCTTTGCCATCCTGATAAACCATACCACTACCGCATCGAGTCTCTTCTTCATCTTTGAGGAGACCGTCCAACATTCGCTGCCGTAAAGGAGGACTGATATCATGTAGCAGTTCAGTACTATTTTCTTCGTTACCAATGAAATCCTCCTGTCTCGCAATACTCTGCCCAGGTTTTGGAATGCTTCTTTGGCCATCCTGATATGTTCGGTTCATGATATCCTCAGCATCCTTCTGTAGAATCATACCGACATTGCCTCGAGTCTCTTCTTCATCTTTGAGGAGACCGTCCAACATTCGCTGCCGTAAAGGAGGACTGATATCATGTAGCATTTCAGTACTATTTTCTTCGTTACCAATGAAATCCTCCTGTCTCGCAATACTCTGCCCAGGTTTTGGAATGCTTCTTTGGCCATCCCGATATGTTCGGTTCATGATATCCTCAGCATCCTTCTGTAGAATCATACCGACATTGCCTCGAGTCTCTTCTTCATCTTTGAGGAGACCGTCCAACATTCGCTGCCGTAAAGGAGGACTGATATCATGTAGCAGTTCAGTACTATTTTCTTCGTTACCAATGAAATCCTCCTGTCTCGCAATACTCTGCCCAGGTTTTGGAATGCTTCTTTGGCCATCCCGATATGTTCGGTTCATGATATCCTCAGCATCCTTCTGTAGAATCATACCGACATTGCCTCGAGTCTCTTCTTCATCTTTGAGGAGACCGTCCAACATTCGCTGCCGTAAAGGAGGACTGATATCATGTAGCAGTTCAGTACTATTTTCTTCGTTACCAATGAAATCCTCCTGTCTCGCAATACTCTGCCCAGGTTTTGGAATGCTTCTTTGGCCATCCCGATATGTTCGGTTCATGATATCCTCAGCATCCTTCTGTAGAATTATACCGACATTGCCTCGAGTCTCTTCTTCATCTTTGAGGAGACCGTCCAACATTCGCTGCCGTAAAGGAGGACTGATATCATGTAGCAGTTCAGTACTATTTTCTTCGTTACCAATGAAATCCTCCTGTCTCGCAATACTCTGCCCAGGTTTTGGAATGCTTCTTTGGCCATCCCGATATGTTCGGTTCATGATATCCTCAGCATCCTTCTGTAGAATCATACCGACATTGCCTCGAGTCTCTTCTTCATCTTTGAGGAGACCGTCCAACATTCGCTGCCGTAAAGGAGGACTGATATCATGTAGCAGTTCAGTACTATTTTCTTCGTTACCAATGAAATCCTCCTGTCTCGCAATACTCTGCCCAGGTTTTGGAATGCTTCTTTGGCCATCCCGATATGTTCGGTTCATGATATCCTCAGCATCCTTCTGTAGAATCATACCGACATTGCCTCGAGTCTCTTCTTCATCTTTGAGGAGACCGTCCATCATTTGCTGCCGTAGAAGAGAACAGATGTCATGTAGCAGCTCAGTTATACTAGGTGACCAGAATTCATTGTTCCTTCATCTCCTTCGGTTCTCTGTGTGTGCATGTATGCATGTGTGTGTGTGTCTGTGTCCGTTCCAATTCCTCCCTCTCTGCCCCTACTCG